AAGAAAAATATTTTGTTGAAAACTGCTGTTTACTCTGGGCTACTTTTAGCTCAGCATTGTTAATCCCCTCCCTACTATCTTCACAGCAGAAGTGGAAGGAAGGTGAACAGAGAAAGGAACTCATACTTCATATCTGATCATAAAATGTTGACTGCTCGATGTCAAAATAGGAAACAAGATCTTGACTGCTGCCATATGTTGAATTATATGTAGCCAATCTTACTAYGACAGAGGGAAAAACTACAGCCCTCTACACAAGTTAAAAAGGGCACATTTTCAGTGAGGATTTATTGAGAAGTTGTRTAAGGGGTTGTCATAAGTACTTTGAAAGTGGTTTCCTTTGTTTTCTGCCCCCAAATACTGCTGCTAGTTCAATCAACAGACCAGCACTTACCAGATCCTTTACTACCAATCAATCCCCTTACTACACCATTTTTAACTTTCTCCTTATTTCCTGCCCTATCCAAATCCAAGTTGGGGGAACTTTTGCCTGTAAGCTCCTTGGGATATATCTTATTTGTACTGGAATATAATACTGGATGAATCCTCTTGAATGAATGCATGAAAGGTGAATAGAAAATGTCCTTCCTGCAGGAACTTCTTCAGAAATTTCTGGGCAGGAAAAAAAAAATTAAAGCTGATAGTGACCTCCTCACTTTTTTCTTGTAGACCCCAGAATAGTAGACAGAGGAAAATACAAGAGTAACCTCTGAGAGGTCAGCAAGCAGAACTTTAAGTGTGGTGGTGTCTCAACAAGCCCTAAACACCATGAAGGAACAAGGAGCAGAGGGAGTGTGTGCTCATGCCACACACACACACACACACATCTGCCTAGTATTTCAAGGGTGCTCAGGGGTGGAAAGGACACAGTTTCAGATGGCTCCCTAGGGGGGGCTAGAGGACATGAAACCTAGTTGGAAGGAACAGGGTTTTACCACTGGTTTAACAGTTCTGCTTCCTACCTGGTTTCTGTTCATTAAGAGGTGGTATTTAAAATGCTGAGAGAAACGTGAACAAAGTCGATTTTTAGAGGAAGATCAGAGAATCGTGGGCTCATTTCACGCTATAAATGCCACCGGTGTCCAACCCTGGGCAGGACAATTTTCTAAGGAGACCTGCCTTCCTTCTTGTAGCGGGACCTAGTCCTGGCGGGAGAGGTGTCACCACAATGGAACTGAAAGTGAGTGGCCTGGGAACACAGTGACAAGCGAGAATTAAGGCATGCAAATACGCATGCGCGGGATGGGAGCGACTACTGTGAGTCCAAGATTGTGGCGAGTAGCCTGGGAAGACTGCTAGGATTGGCCAGGACGGAGGAGTGTAGCAAGAGGGAAGGGATATGACAGGAAACCGGGGCCCTAGCCTGGTCAACGACGAAGGTAGGGGCCTGGGCACTGAGGAGCACAGGTCCCAATGCCCAGCGGAAGAGCCGAAGCCCGGGCGAATCGCCGCGGCGAGACCTGAACGAGAATATGGCCTGTGGGGGCAAGGGAGGGGCTTCGGGTGGGCAAGATGGACGTGACGGGCGGTCAGGAGGATGTAAAAGGCCTTATGCTCAGTGACGTGGACTGGACGGAGCGTGGGGGCGTGGCCACGGATGGAGGTGGGCTATGGAGTAGCGCGAGGGAGGGTCGGGCACAGGGCCGGAAGGAGGGGCCTGAGTAGGGGCCTGAAGTAGGCGGGGCGCACGTAGGTGCCCTGAGCTTGGGCAGAGTCCGGCCGTGGCCTTCCTGCTCTTGCACGTAATAAGAACAGTGACACCTGTGGAAGACGGTGGCGTGGTCGCGGCGAGAGTCCGGTGGTTGGTATAGACGGGACCCACCCGTCTACACTAACAAGGAAAGGAGTCTAGAGCGGAGAGCATAGTATTCATAGAGGCGGTGGTTGGAAGGACCGGGGCGTGGCTTGGCGAATGTCGTTTCCGGCGTGAGGGGCGTGGTGAGGTGCGAGAGAGCGTTGCCAAGATGGCGGCGCCCATGAGCCTCGGCCTCTTAGTGCGAACGACAAAGTTCCGGTCCTTTAGGGTACTGTGACAGTTCGTAGCGTGACCCACAGTGGGGGCAAGGTATGCCACAGAGTACAGGGAATACACGGTGTCTCCACATTCATTATCACCCTCCACGAATGGGCCCGGAGCCTAGGAACATGTTGGTCCAACGTGTACAGGTTCTTGGAGGGGCTTCTCTTAAGAAGGGCGGGAGAGTGGCAGCGGGGATAGCTCCCTTTCCGTGTTAGCTCAGTTTCTCCATTGTGAGGATCACAGACACTCTTTCAGGAAGCCGCTCATTTAAACGTAGAGAAGTTGTTCCCAGAGACTGGCAAATAAAGAAATTGCAGTTCCAGAAACCGCGGCACACGAGTTGGGACTCTCTTGGATCCGCATTATTGAGTTTGTCCCCGATTGTGCCAGGGGCAAAGGACAGACTCACAGCTATCGCCAGTGTAGAGGATCACCAGCACAGTTGTGTCTTGTGGATAAATCTGAGCTTTCTGCACTCTTCAGTTCCTCCTCCTGCCCTTTTTCTCTCGAGTGGTACCCCAGAGCTGGAGGAGAATAATCTCCAAAATACAAATATTGGTGTCTGGGATTCTCCTTCAGCGTTAAGTGCTCCTATCTGAGGCTGCTGCTAACTGGTTAGTGTCAATATCATTGTAATTACCCCCCATTTATTTTTGCTGGAAAAGCTTGAGAAATAGGTGAAGTTAATAAAGATGTGTAAA